CACGTTTCCTCCACTTCTTCTCCGAGGATGAGACCAGGTTATACGCTCAGTGCGGACAATACGCCACCGAACGCATGCGAAGTCTCTTTGAAGTTTCCATCAATGCTTCTTATCGTGCGAGCGTCGCAGTACACGCTCGCCAATATCGACAATGAATCTTGACGTTACAGCGTGGTACAATTTCCTGGCCCTTTAATTTTCTTTCGGCGAAAAGCGACACACCTCAAAATCTAGGGTGTGGTCTATTATCACCCGACCCCGAGTTCCCGTCCTTTCCAGTACTGAGTCGACTGCCTGACACACCTTCGCTTCGTCGTCCAGTGCCCCACCGACGACACAACAGTGCGTGTTCATTGCGGGTCGTGCTTGGTGGTAACCTGGGGTATACTAAGTTGTACACGGTGCCCCCATGCAGGGGGGGAGTCATCGCTCGGGTCGCCGAGTGAGGGATGGAGAGGAAGAGGAGACATGGTCGACGATCGTGTAATTTGCAGCCCATGCACGTCCAATGCGACCAGTCGAGAGTATAGTTTGCCGCGCAGCGACACCAACAAAGGTCTCGATCACACTTTCGTGAACATATCTGGGCCGGTGTTCTCAGTATGAATACTAAACCAGCACGAACAACGCACCTTGAGTTACCTATATGCGGGCGGAGAAGTCATCAACTTTACTATAGCTGGGGAAAAATACTTTGGGGAGAGTAGAGGGTGACCACTACCCGTGCATCCTAAATTCTGAGCGCTGAGGGGTGCAAGTACAATAAGTTCGTCATGGTGGGTCATGACAATATCCTCCTCGACGCATCTTCACTCCGATCACTGCCTCTAAGGCGGTGCATGTCAACCAACCCCCTTGTGAAGGAGCGCCAGGGAGAGGTGGCTACAGCAAGCCAGAACAACTGGGAAACGCAAGAGTAGAATAGAAATGCGAAAGTACTGGAGTCATTGGAAGTTGGTCAATGATTTGCCATTACTAGAGCTAGATGTGCTACTGCAACAACCTGGACTAGTGTGACTGGTACAAGTAACCCTTGTGACAATACGCGAGCGCCGTGACTCAACAGTTCGGAGGGCGGAGGGCGATTGCGAACGACTGATACGAAATCACTGGCAGAGCAGCTTCAGACGAACCTAGGAATGCATCTACTTCAAGTTGCTATGCAGCCAGGTGGATGACGCGATGCGATTCTCTTGGGCTTTGGACTTGCGCTCTAAGGTTCTAAGGCCACTGGAATCCGCATAACGCTTCAAGTTGATCGTGAGGACCCGTCCTTTCCCCCTACAGTAAGCCACTTCTGGCACAGGGCTTCCAATTTTTTGCCGCCATTATATTTCGCATTACGGTGACTACCACTGGCTTCCTATTCTGGGTATCTCCTTGGCCATCAAGACGAACTGCATCAATGGATTCGAATAGTTGGATGAGTCTGGCACAGCGTTGACTCCCTGTGGACTTAGTAAATACCAAAGCGTTCATAACATGATGTGTTCTTGCAGGCCCACTTAGTTGGTACGCGTGCGGCCATTTCCCAGACCACAAACTACAAACCTTCAGAGACGCAGGCATGCTAAACCTCTTCCATTCCACGCATGGAACGCGGCCGAACGCCAGATCCTTGGACCTCCCTCGCAGATTGGACCACCACATAACGCGGGTTCCTGAGCTCCAAAGCTGTAATTCTACTGGGATCTATGTCAGCACGCACGATAATTCCGCCAGAAAGGATACGGATGTAAAATGCAGGGGAAAGCGCGTCGGCCCGTCGGGGAATGGAAGTCAAGTTCAGTCCTTGATGTCTGCCTCCGCATATGCCGGCGGACGAGTTTCTGCTAGTACCTGTGCTAGCCAGTTCTGGAAGGACAGTGCCGTGCAAGCAAACCGATCGGCCTCGTCAATGACCAGGAACCGCGAATGTTGGAGCGAGAAATTCGTCGTCCCGCTGAGACGTCTATTACTGTAACCCGCCAGGGGTGCATATCAATATGTCATACCTTACTGGAGCCCCCTGTATCTGTAGTCAGTAGATCCTTCAAGCCAAGCCAGTGCACACGTCAGCTCTTTGTTCACAAGCTAGGCTTGCTCTTGGGAGAACCAATGTTGGCCAGTTACGGTGCCTCAACCGGCCACGAGAGACCGGTTCTCGAGTCCAGTTGGCCTGTGCAAACCTATGTCTGCTTATATATTTCAAACGCAACTCCAAATCTAATGGCGGCTGTTCATACGGCACCAAACTACAAAATATGCTTGTCCGCTGTCCGCTTTATATTTATGGAGGGCGGATGCATATATCATTGCTCGAACTCCTAGGAGGCAATTACAGGCTCAATTTCACTCGAGACCCAAGAGCGAGGATCATCCTTTTGCTGAGTTACTCTTTTCCTTGCTATATTTTCCCCCGTGCGTACTGGGGGTCCCTCTGTGCAGATATTGGAGAAGGAAAGCAATGCATGATAGCTAAGATGAGCCTTTAAATGGCAGTTGAACCCACAACGCGCGTGCAGGGTCCCCAGACAAGGCCCAAGCAGCGCGAGATTTCCGTCGGCAGCTTCACATGAAAACAGAGCTACCCTCTGCACGAATTAAAGCAGATACGATCTACTTTGTGCAGGAAATGAAGGACCTGCGTTACAAGTATCCGCGTAGCACCGGAACTGCTATCTAGGAGCACATTGTTTAAGATTGACTCTGACATGAGCGTCCCGAGCAGAGAGGAGATCCTAGATGAGATATTATTTACTTGGTGAATAAACGAATAACTCACGACTAAGACCAAAATGTCTGGTCGCCTCGAAAGCCGACCGAAACAAATGTTGTCGCAAATGGTTGCATTCTACTCAAAAATTCAGTGTACCTTTGTCGAGCTCATCGCAATTGACCGAGCTGGGAGCAGTACGCTATGGATCCACCAACGTGGACTGAGCCATCCGTGCTGTGCATGTTGCCTCAGATCCCACTGCTCCCACGGCGGCCACGGGCTCCAACTTGAAGTCTTGAACAGTACCCCTCCTTTGACTTCTTTCGGTTCGGGTACAGCTACGGGCTTAGGGTGACGAGTTCAACGATGTAATATAATACTTCGAGTCTTGCACAAGCGTCTCAGAAATGAGTTCCACTGTGAAGCACTCCTTACAAACGACCAAGTGTCTATAATTGAACTAAGGACAAAGCTATAACGCCAAAGTATTAGCACACAATGGGCGCGGCCTATAGGCCACGCACTGGCAATTGACGTAGCATCACAGGGGGTAAACGTAAAGGCTGGAGACAGGTCAACAGGGAATATAATGGCAGCACTCTCTACACGTCCCCGAAGACGTCTCGTTCTTCATCGACCAGCGTCACGGAGTGGTCTACATAGAGTGCCTTCACGACTTCTCGTTCCCTCCACCTCTTCTCCGAAGATGAGACAGGCTTTAGGGTATATTCTACGCTTAACGCAGACAATGCGCCACCGTACGCATGCGAAATACCTTTGCTTTTCTATCAATGCTTCTTATCGTGCGAGCGTCGCATTACGTGCTCACCTGTATCGATAATGATGATCTTGCCATTACAACGCGATACAATTTTCTGTCAAATACAGTTAGTAAATAACTCCCAACTTTGTTTTAGGAGAAAAACGACGCACCTCAAAATTCGGGGTGTGGCCCATTATCATCCTTCGAGTTCCCGTCTTTTCCAGCACCGGGTCGACCGCCCGGCACACCTTCGCTTCGTCATCTAGTGCCCACCCTCGATACCACAGAGGGCCATCCGCTTCTAATAGTGCGTGTTCCTTGCGAGTCGTGCTTGGTGGCAAATGGGGGTATGCATGGGGAGGGTGAGGCGGCGGCTGTGCGCGGTGCTGCAACTTATGCAGTAGCGAACGTCCAAGGTCGTTGATGGCAGACGGGAACGGAGAGAGGCCCGGATAGCTCAATGCGAGACCCCCATGCACGAATGAATAAGCGGCGTGAGAGAGTGGTGCAGGCAAGCGGACAGCCGCAGAATCAGCCGAGGGAGGGAAGTCATCGTTCGGGTCGCCAAGAGAGGGATGGAGAGGAAGACGAGATGTGGTCGTGTAATTTGCAGCCCAGGCGCGTCCTATGCGACCAGTCGAGAGCATAGCTTGCCGCGCAGCGACACCGCCAAAGGTCTTGATCTCGCTTGCGTGAACATACCTAGGCTGATGGTCTCAGTATGATACCTAAACCAAATCGAACAACGCACCTCCAGTCGCCTACATATGCGAGAAAGTCATCAGCTAGGGAACTGAATATGACCATGAGCGAATCAATGCTAACCGATGGAGTTCATCCACTCATGGTTTCCCAAATGAGACAGCACTCGCCCACCAGCACCCTGTGCTTGCGACCGGAGGTCCTCCATCCAATCAAACAACTCGATCGTGTCGTCGCCACTGGACCCAGTCGTTAGTTATACGACTGTGTGCCCGTACTGCAACTACGCACCGATCAATGATGTCTCCCGTCTGCACAAAGACGTCCACTTCACCGGACCAATTTCCGTCAGAGTCGACAACGCGCGCCATTTCAAGAACCTTCTGAGCATTCCCTATGTCTCCGTGCAAGTCGCCGACCGCAATAATCCGGGTAGTCCGTTCTAAGCGGTCATCAGATTTACTTCCGAGAGGAGGGACATATTGTTGGGAGTTCAACTTCTGGGCCCCGCGAAAGGATAACGCCAGATAGACGAGGGCGGAGAGGCCAATAAACTGAAGGGAATGACGAAGGCTCAGGCGAATAGGCATGGTTAGAAGTGCTGTTTCGTTTGGTACGTAACTCATGTATAACCACTTTCGAAGGTGGTTTTGGGTTTATGTAATCTACATCGTTTGTCGCCGCCATTTATTGAGCTTTTTACTGGCATGACCATTGGCCTTAGCTAGCGGGGTTGTTCGACAGGAGTGTCCCCCAGAGTAATATGTAACATGACAAGACGATATTTTGAAGAAATGAAATCCTGAACTGTCTTGGATTACAAAACGACAAAAACAATGCATTGTCCGGGAATCGAACCCGGGGCGGGTCGAAGGTGCGAAACCACGTGGCAACGACCCAGGTTACCACTACCCCAACAATGCTGTATTGGGCTGAGTGATCCCTACTCCTGTAACGTATTTTATTGACCCGTCCTCATCCGAAGTACGACGTGTACCTTTCACGAATGCGGGAATGAAGATCTGCCTTTTCACAGAAACACAGAAAGATAGTCCATCATTGGGATAAAGGCTCACATCACGTTCTGGTTCCACGTGATCCCGCCGTTCCATCACCGACGTGTTCAGTTGTAAACAACCCATTTTCAACGACTGAAGCCAGCGGTCTCGACCGCAATGCAGAAGGATAATGCACGTCGACACTCGCCCTCAACACGATTAGCTATTCATCTTACACATCGCTTGGTTTGAACCAGCACTTCGGCCTCATAGGAACGTGCTAGGCGTCCATCGCGCCAGGGCCCTTCATTCATGTACCTTCCCATAGCTACGTTCTTCCTCTTATCTCTGTCCCCGGCGCTTGCTGCCATTTCGGAATCTCTGCCCACTGCCCTCGGGAAAGCGTGCTCTGTTGCATCCAATCATCTCGATCCCCGCACGAAGAAGTTCACGAGTGACTGCGATGTCCAGACGTCCTGCTCGGGTGCCATGAACGGAACGTGCGTCCCACGCCAGTGCCAGCGCGACGAGTTTCCGTTTGGATATAGCGCGAACCAGACGCAGCCGGGGTTATGTCCAGAGGGGAGCTTCTGTCCCGACGAGGGCGACACATGCCGCCCGCTTGTTGCTGCTGGTCAACCATGTCAGTTCAACCGCGACGACCAGTGCGCACCATCGGATATCCCTGGGCTAGCCGACTATCACAATTCCAACGGCGCTGTATGCTTAAACTCCATCTGCACGTGAGCACGATCTGCCGTTTTCCACTGGCATAACTTGAACAAGCGACGACGCATTCTCCAAGTTATGCCAACCTGACCGAGAAACAGCCTTGTACTTTCGAGCTGAGCACGTATGAAGGGATAAGCGCTGCTGGAGTGGGGTTCACAAATAGCATCGTACGCGACAATTGCCAAACGGCACTGCATTTCTGCAATACGGCGACGAAGGTATGCGAACTACTACGTTCGGTTGGGCAACAGTGCCAGTATCATCGTGATTGCAAATCAGTAGGGCTTGATTTTTCCTGGAGGCTCTGAAGCTGAAGCGGGTTACTGGTAACCAGTACAATTGCGTCCAGAACGTGTGCGCCAGCCCACCGGAAGAACCTTTCGAAGTGACTCTGGGGCAATATGCAACGACCACATTCGCAATCATTCTGGGTAGGTTCGCTTCGTAAACGCCTTCACTGGACGCTAAGATCGGCATGACAGCAATGGCAGCTACTTGTATCATGTTGGTGGTAATGCACCGCCGGCATCGCTTACAGCGCTACGAAGAAATTCGCGACTACTGCGACGAGCAAATTAGGTATGTCTAGCTATTTAGCATATCCCGGGGTCTGCTCACGTATAGCCAAACAGGCTACGGCAGGCAGTTTTTGGAATGCAAAAGAGTACAATTGGTGGGCTTGACTGAAGCGAAATTACCGATCAAAAACTAAATCTTGGGGGCATTGATCGAGGCCTAGGTTTGAGGTCAAGTTTGGATGGTAGCAGAGTTACGTAGCCCAAATCAATTCGAAGTAGCAGAGCTCTCAATAGCAACTTCGGCACTCAGACGAGATATTTCAGAGAATGCCGCTTTGAGAAGCTCCAGGTCTGAATCGAGTGATTCGGCACGACTCCTCATCTGATATGATGGGAGTAGGTCAGTTGGATAAACGTCCAGGAGATCGACTCACGGCAGATATGGTATCGGTAGCGTCAATGAGTTCATGGTGATGGTTATAGACCAAAGATTGACGTTCGCCGTCTAGCTGCCTCATTTCTGGCAGGACACTCAGTGAGATCGAATGTATGGGACACGGACGCTTGACTTGCCTATAAGTAGTTCGTTCTCTTTCTTCAGAAGAGTTGTGAGGGACGCCGTAGTGATGAGCTGATCATAATATGCCTTTGCATCAAAAGCTGGCGAGTCTGTAGTCTTGTTAGCGCTGCACCAGTAATTAACGGGAGGGCGATTACCTAAGTCCATTGGGTCCATGGGTCGGCCAGATGGAGGTGGAGGTGTAACATTTAATCCGTAGTGCCTCCGAAGTAAGTCTCTTGCCCTCGTCTTCGAACGCTCTGGAGGGGGAGTTGCGGGGGAGGTTGCGTTGCCACTAACATGCCGTGGGGAGGTGGGCAGCACAGGTAAAGTAGTGGATCTTGGAGAGGTGGATGATTGCAGTGGAGAGTTAGGACCCAGGGAAGATGGGAGGGGTTTGTTCGAAGATTTCGTTCTGGGCGGTGTGGTTGAAGTCGGGGTGGGTGAAGGCGAAGGTGGGAGAGACATGTCTGTACTGTCTAGCGTCAGAGGTTTCGGCTGGACCATCACACGCATCACGTGCGAACGGAGTCAATTGGCGCGTCGCGGGTTTTATGCACGCGTCAATCTCTCTTTCTCTCTGTTTTATAATGGCTGAGCGGCCAAATGACTGGGTAATAGATGATAGCGAAGAGGAGGACCAACTATGTGCTACAGAACTCGATCCAGTCCCCCCAGGTGCGCATCATTTAAGGTTCGCCTCGTGCCAGGGCTTCAGTGACGTAGTCTTCCCCCATGTCCGCAGCAGAGGATGGTGTCTCCAGCATACAGGCCTTCACATCGACCGTGGTGGAGAGTGCTGAGGAAATCTCACGCATTTCATCTCTGGACCGTGCCCTTCCGGCTCAGGATACGGTCCCCTCCATCCCACCCCAGGCAGAGCATTCTACAATCTCTGAATATTCGACCAAGAGTGGTCCTAAACCACGCCCTCGACCCATATTCAGCCACCCAAATACCAATCCTGTAGCGAGCGCATCCACTAGCGATCCCATCCTCCCTTTCACACCAGCCCCCGACCACAGGGAGCAACCTACGACCGTGACCCGTTCTGATCCCACTGGGATTGAAAGCATCAGCGAAACTACTCTTGCACCTATCGATTTCTCTCAGGACATTGCAGAACGTGCCAAAATGCGCACCCGCAAAGCCGCAAAGCGGTCTATGCAGCACACTGAAGATGTCATCGATATTACTGACGACGAACTCGCCATAGCGCCTGCCCGGAAGCCAAAGGAAAGACCAAAGCCTCGCCCGGTCAAACGTGCCGTTCCAAGCAGAGACTGCCCTCCGCTGCCTTCAGACCCCGTGACTCTCCCAGTGCCCAGCTCGAGCATGTCCCTCCCTCCCTCAGACCCTTTCCCCGAAAGCACAGTGATCAACTTCACCCCCCCACCACCTGGGCTTGATGAAGTCGCCGCTTCCACTTCTTCTCCTAGAGAGAATTCTGCACGCAAAAGGAAGCGACAGCGTCCGGGGCGCCTCCAGTCGCCGATGGATGACCCCACTGATTCGCGTCCTCTTCCTACTGTACCAGACAGGGCTTCGTCTCCTCTGTCTGATCCACCGCTTCCAGCGCGGGGGTCTGGAACCACACCTGACATAAGCCATGAGGTGAAGTCTATCGAGAAGGACACCGATGACGAGTATGGCGCGGAACAGTCTACTAAGAGGCACAGGAATACGAAAGGTACAGAGGACAGCACAAATGCCAGCCCAGGTAGAAGCGAAATTGACAAATCCAAAAAGAAGTCTATCGTAGAGGTCGTCATTCTCTCTCCGAAAAAGAAGAAAAAGCGAACAAAAGCAAGTGGGGGCGATAGCAAGTCTCGGAAAGGCCCTAAGTCCAGAAACAAGCGTCCAGCTTCCTCTGAGGACGATGAACTGTTGCTCGCGCCACAAAGCAACTCGACGGCGGCCGCAAAGTCTCATAAGGGGAAGAAAAGGGCGATCACACTTCGGTCCGAGGATGGTCCCTCTACAGAAGTTGGGTCTAGCAGCAAAGGGATGGCGATGGGAGAAGAACACGAGCATCAACGAGCTGCTCCGATGTCCCATATTGATGGGGACGATAAGGCCATGTCCCGCTCGGTCGAACTTACAACACCTGCGCCTTTGAAGGTAGATTTGACCACCCTTCTAGTGATTCTTGTCGCTGACCCATGCCAGGAAAATTTGCTACCTAGTGTTTCTGTCGGGGGCAAGGACCCACCTCAGTCGAGTAGTCCCACGAGAGAAACACCCAACCGCGGGAAATTACGGTATACTCTCAGTGGGCTCGGCAGAAAGACCCCGATGCAGGAGCTGATTAGGCGAGCCGCCTCTCACCCGCACACGCCGTTTTCAGCCACTTCCTCTCCAGTTGCGTCTCCACTCGCCAAGACTAGCAAATCTGCGCTTCGCCGCATCGCACCGCTGCACCTGACTCGACGTACGCCTCCGCCTCCCCCGCCGCCGCCTCCGCCTCCAAAGAAGAGTAAGAAGATGCTCAACCTTGAAGAAAAGTGGGAACTGGAGTTGGAAGATGAGGTGGAAGGGTGGTGGGCGCTGACCGACGAAGAGAGACGAGACTGGAGAAAGGCGAAAAGAGATAAGGAACTAGGCTTCGATGATTGACCTTTATGACCCACGGACGGTCGTGTTTGACCTTACAGTATCGACAGCAGTAATTATGAATGCCAGTGTAGGTTCACAGACAATATCTTCACTAACACGAAGCATGTATACGATAGTGATTCCGAGTCTACATATTCAATGCAAACAGCTGCTCTGCGTGCTGCTCCGACTATTAACAGAGCCTATTACCGTCGTCCACCTTATTTGCACCGTACTCGATTGATAAATACATCTCTGAGTTGGGCCAGGGTACCTTGGTATGGTCGACTGTCCAGATATAAAAATGCATGCCTGTCTTACAAGGTATGGACCCTTGGGATATATTAAGTAGTGGAGTAGATGTGTTAGTGAACGGACGTGTGTGCGAATTGATGTCTGCAGAGAAGACAAGGGCTCAGCGCTCAGCGCTCAGTTGCTGTGTCGGTTTCTCGATTCAGTTACTTACGGTCCACAGTAGGGGCATGCGAGGTCAGGCCTGTCAGGTGCGGGCGCACCTTCAC